GCTTAAGTCTATTTTTTTTTAAAACATGAGAAAATACCTTTCTTGAAAATAGTAACTAATCGATTAGTTGGCAACTTAATTCACTATTCCTTAATTGTATGTTAAAAATGAAAAAGTATCTTAGTAGAAGACACCATTTAAACTGTTCTAATTTAGATAATATAATTATTATTGAGTATATGAAGACAAAAACCAATTAATATATTTAGTTACATGGATATTTTTATTTGAACCTATATATTTTATACTTTTGCCTATGCTAACAAGAGAAAACTTAGTACTGTGACAGCCACAGAAGAGAAGAACACTACACAAAGGAAAAGAGTACCTTGTAGTATGAGAACAGGAAGCTGAAAACATTGACATTAAAAACAGTGACCCTTGTAGCTTATTCAAGTGTTTATTACAAGCAATGTTAGTATTATAACCTTAGCAATTGGATGAGGAAATAGATAAAAGGCATGCTTGCTTTTTCTACAAAGACTGACAGTTTTCACTGTTGTTTCTTTTTGTTGTGGCCCTTTAGAAAGGAAAGGGAGAGTGAATGTGTAGTACAGTGTAAGCATGATAGAGACAAGGGGGCCAAGCTGAATTTTTTATGATTTTGCTTTTAATATGAAGTCTTGATTGTTATTTGGGGGAAATAATAGGAAGTAAAAATTTAAAAATAAGATATAAATATTTTTAATCAGTAGTAACCCAAAGTATACATATGAGAAGTTTAGACATAGTCCTAATGGTGACTTTTAAATGCTGCACTCATCAAAACGATTAAGACAAAAGGAGAAGCTTCATTACTACTGAGATCTAAGAAATGCTATAAGTCACATATTTGGTATGTGTGCTGATTTTTCTGACTTATTTTTGGAATTTATAGATCATCTTCTGTCTTGTGAAATCATCCAGTTTAAGAACCTTAGAGAGTTATACTTTAGGAAAAGGTAGTTAACCAAAGCAACAGTACATGCCCATGTGATAAATATATGGCTTTTGTTCTTCTTCAGGTGACCGCTTCAGATCTGTCATAGATGATGCCTGGTGGTTTGGAACAATTGAAAGTCAAGAGCCTCTTCAACCTGAGTATCCTGATAGTTTGTTTCAGTGTTACAATGTTTGGTAAGAAAATACTGGTTGTATTTTGAATTAGACTAGGTTTTGAAATTTTTTCCTCTATCAGTAAAGGAGTAAAAATACCTCTTTTAATACTGAAACAATTATTTGTTTAATGTGATTTTACTTTTCATTTTTTTTAATGGAATAATTTTGCTTATTTAAAGCTGGGACAATGGAGATACAGAAAAGATGAGTCCTTGGGATATGGAACTAATACCTAATAATGGTAAGTGTATGTTAGGTTCATTGCTTATACCTTGTGGAATTAGAATTAGTTGGTGTTGGTGTGTGTGTGTGTGTGTGTGTGTGTGTGTGTGTGAGAGAGAGAGAGAGAGAGAGACAGACAGACAGACAGACAGACTGACTGACTGACTGACTGACTGACTGTGGTGTATATGGGTACATATGTATTGGCATTTTTATGAAAGTCAGAGGGTAACTTGCAGGAGTTGATTCTCTCCCACCTTGTGTAGCTAGGATTTTACTTGAACTGTTAGGTTTTGTGGCAGACACCAGTGCTCTCAGAGCCATCCCTTCAGCCCTGGAGTTTTTTTGTTTTGTTTTGTTTTGTTTTTTCAATAAGAAAACTGGTTTACTGCTGGAGATCAATCCCCACACTCAAGAGGCAAAGGCAGGAGGATTACCGCATATGTTCAAGCCTAGCTAGGGCTACATAGTAAGAACCTGACTAACAAAACAAAACAGAAACCAAACTTGATACCAGTTAAGGTTATTGTGACTAATCAATATAAAATATATAATTAGACAAAGTTTAGCAGTGAACATGATTGACAGTCCTTCCCTATCTGGAACCTCTGTCTTAAAGGAGAGATTGAAATTAATATACTAGAATAAAATAGAGAAGTGTTTAATTATTTATCCTTTAAATTGATTATTTGGGGAGGGGTTCAGAGACATTTTTGTAACAGTCCTTAGGAGGTGAAGCTTTTTAGTGGAAGTATGAACAGGACCTTGTCTTGCTACTTTGTATGTGCTCTTGACTAGTTTCCAAGACTCAAAATAACTTACTTGGTACTCATCCTTTGCTATCTAAACAAGTGCCTTTCTTATTTTTTCAGAATTACAGTCCATTATATGTGACAAATATTGAGTGATCAATGGCTAGGGGCAGTTACAATTAATAACAGTAATCATCACCTTATATATAGCCTAGGAAAGTTGGATTGGGGAGTTATCCCTGGGAAGAGTGAATATGACATATTTCTTATTCTCGAAAAGAGTGAATGGCTGAAGCATGGTAATTAAGGTTTTTAAAGTAGGACATAGTTATACATGCCTAAAAAGGGGTGTAAGTAGTATATTGTAGATTATAAATGATTTATTTGTATATTAGACTTTTTTATGTCCTGGGCTTGGATTTTTAAATGGTGTACCTGTATCATCAGATAAAGATTTTTTTTAAAAAACAAGAAAAAAAATCTCATTTTTAACATAATAGAAATAAACTTTTATAAATGGTATTTCTGAGTAGTTAATGTACCCTAAAAAATTACTAAAGAGATCTCTCAAGTTTCAAGACCAGATTCATCTACCTAGTGACTTGCTAGCCAGTTAGGGCTACATAGTGAAATCCTATCTCAAAAACAAAACAAGAGGACTGGAAAAGATAGTTGAGCAGTTAAAAGCACTGGCCTTTCTTCCAGAAGACTCAAATTTGGTTCCCAGCTCCCACATAGCAACTCATCGCCATCTATAAATCTACTTGTCGGCAATCTGACCTTCTCTTGTGGTCTCTGTAGGCATCAAGCATACACTTGGTGCATAGACGTACATTTGGGCAAAACACCCAAACATATAAAATAAGTAAATATGTAAATTTAAAATTTTTTTGATGTTCTAACTTGCTGCATGTGGTTATGGTGAATATTAAATAGGAAGTGAACTCAGCCAGAAAACCTTAGTAGTGAAAAAACTTTTCATGTTGATAATATTAGTTCATTTAGTACCAGTAATAAACACTTTTATTACACTGCTCAAGTAGAAGTACTAAAGGATAGAAAATGTAAAGATATCAATTTATAACCATTCATTTGGCCTCTTTGTCTTTGTGAGTTTAAATCTCATGTTTGAATTTGAAGTGATTTGATTGTTGTCATCTCAGAATTGGCCTAATAAAGAAATGAAATTGGCTTTCTAGTACTGTGGCTATTTTTTAAAAAAAGAATTAGTAATACTAATTACCTATTTAAATACATCTTCATGAAGTCTATTGGCGCTGGTGAAGATTTTTTTCTTTTGTTCTATTTGGGTACACGTACTTGTGCACACATAGTTATTTTGACTGTATACTATGTTTGGTTTCTGTTACAGTCTAGTTCAAAGGATGTATTACTACCTGGTGCATTTGTAGAATCAGCCTCAAGACTACTTGAAATTTTCTTAGGTACAATGTTAAAGACTTAAGCTTGTGAAAAGCATTACTTCACAAATGGAAGACCTAAGATTTTCCTTTTGGAATTCATAGTTCTCTTTGTTCCTGTAGTAGAAATGTTGAGGCTTTGATTAGAGTATTCTTAAAATTTTCATCAGTTTATTATCACTGTGTGTATTTTGTTAAAGTAAATAATGGCAGTTGGAAGATGAAATGGATAAGATAATTGAAATTTGTTTTGTAGAAGTATTTTCTCTTCCAGATATAACTCGACTAGCTATAGTACACTTTAGGTATAAGTAATCATTTAGTTTTAAATGTGATGTCTTTTTTTAAGAATACATTTTATTTGCGTTTAAAATTCTTCCATTATGAAAATAGTGGTGTTGTTTGTTTGTTTGTTTGTTTTTGTAATATCAATTATTTCAAAAGGAAAAACTCACCAGTAATTACTAAAGATGTTCATTGATGCGTTTTTCTATCTGCATTTCAGCTGTATTTCCAGAAGAATTGGGTACCAGTGTTCCTTTGACTGATGTTGAATGTAGGTCACTAATCTATAAGCCTCTTGATGGAGAATGGGGAGCCAATCCCAGGGATGAAGAATGTGAAAGAATTGTTGGAGGAATAAATCAGTTGATGACTCTAGGTAAATAATAGCATGTCAGTATAGAAAATCCATCTAAGTTACATGAACTTCCTGTAGCTAAATTTCTTGAGTCCACCATAAATGCCACAGGGTCTTCCACAAACCAGTTTGTAAAACCTTCATGCACTCCACTGACTTGATAGGAACTGGAGAGAGGAAGGTGATCAGAAGTTGAATTTAATTATTTGGATAGCTGTGCTTGTTTTCTCCTGGCTTTACAAGTCTTTGTGAAGGGGAAGAACATGGGAAATGGGCTCATTTTCCTGGTTTGTGAAAATGAAAGTAACCAGTGACATAAAACTTGCTTTTGAACTCTGGGCTTTCAAGGAGATGGTTGTAATTTAAACAACAGTCTAGTAGTGCAGAATCAACTTCAAAGGACATAGGGAGAAATTAAGAGTAAGAACTGAAGACACTGGGCATATTATTGTATATTCAAGTCTAGAAATTTTGTTTTTATTTTTTCCCCCTCTTCTTATGTTGCTGAGGATCAGACGGAGGGCCTTGCTCATGGTAGGCGAATGCTGTACTACTGAGCTGTAGACCCGGCCCCAGAGTCTAATAAAATGGTAACTTTATAAAAGTCATCTTATAAATACGACCTTAAATAGTTTTATCTATTTTAGGTTTTAAAAAGTTTAAAAATAAAATGATCTTAACTTGTATTCTAGTTTTTGCTCTATTTCCCTTGTGCTGATAAATTGATAGTATATTTATCTATTTTTTTCTTCATCCTAATGTACCAGTGAATTTCAAAATACAAAAAATAGATTTATAACCTTATTTATTTTAGATATTGCTTCAGCATTTGTGGCCCCTGTGGATCTGCAAGCTTATCCCATGTATTGCACTGTGGTGGCATATCCAACGGATCTAAGTACAATTAAACAAAGACTGGAAAACAGGTTTTACAGGTTAGAGCCATTTGATGTTGCTGATAACAAAAGAACTCTAAAGGATCCTTTCATCTAGTTAGTTACTAACAATCTATGGCAGTGTTTCTCAGTTTTATCTGTACACAGATGGAAATGAACATAGTGGTCAAGTTCAAATATGAAATAGGAATCACCAACCTTTGAGATTTTCCTACAGTGTTGATGCTGCTTGTCTATGGGATTATGAATGAATACTTTATTCTTCCATTGGCATTTTATAAATCAAGCCAAAGAGTTCATTCCTCCTAGTAGTATACTAGAATACTTAATAGATTTTTATAAATCTCTTGTTTATTGAGCTTTGAATGCCTATGGAAATACAATTAGAAAGGATTCACAAAAGTTTTTATAGTTTTTGCTTAAGCTTTTATGGTTAATTTGCTTCTGTGGGATAATGTTTTTTGGTTGCCAGTGAATTCTTTAGTTTTTTTGAGACATGGTCTTACTCTGTAGCCTTTGGTGTCCTGGAACTCGCCATGTAGACCATGCTGGCTTCAAAGCCACCTACCTGCCACTGCTTCTCAAGTGCTTGGGTTAAAGGCTGCCTAAAATATTTGCAGAAATATGTTTAAATCTATAGTTTGGAATGAAATGGTGTTTTTAAGTTTATTTTTCTTAGTGTCTATGGCTTAATAGGCCAACACTTTAATGTGCATAATAGTTGCATTAAAATCTTTTTATGATCATTTTTACATTTTTGCAACGCTTTATTCTTTTTCTAAGTTTAAGGAAGTTTTTATTCATACCCTATACTGATGTTTTCCTGTATAGAATGTAGCTTTGGTTTTCTGACTGCTGTGAGTTATATCCTTGGATGTAGCACTGCCATGTCTAATACTACTCTGTCCTTACTGACTAACATAAGCCTTAATAGCAGCAGTTTTACTGACATGTGAGCCAGAAAAGTCATTCTTCCTATCTGCCCTGTATATCTCCTGGTGTGTGAGAACCATTTGAGCAAAGTAAACTAGAATTCAACTTGGTTTGAAAGATGATCTCATTGGTGTTAGGTCCACTTGTTGTATCATTGTTGGTAATTCTTCATAGACAAAGAGATGAGCAAATTCCCTATGATAAGTTCTTTGCCACCCTATCTTCAAGGCTTCCACTATCAGGTGCAGAAGTTGAGAAGAATGAATGGAGACTATTAACTGTATTCCTAGACCTGGAATTGTCAAGGCTTAGGAGAGTTTATACATAGTGCTACAGGATAGAACAAAACATGGGAGGATGTGAGGGAGATTCACTGGTTGTTGGATTACAGCTTGCAAAAGGAGTTAGCATTTCCAACTATTATTAATAAACTTTCTCATAGACAGACTGCTAAAAAAACATGCCGATTGCTAAAGTGTAATTTAATTTCAATATACAGTATGCCTTAAATAGGCTTCTTTGGTGTTAATCTAGCCTTATAACCAGTTTACAATAAAAAGGAACTTGTGCATGTGTAAATAAAAATTATTTGTTTTCCATCCTGCTAATACATTTAAAAATCTGAGTTACATACTTATTTGACAGAATGTTTTCAAATGATATTACACTGTTAAAAGGTTTTTTTTTTAAATTGTTTTGTATATTTTTATGTTTGTTTTTCTTCTGATGCCATTCATTCCTTGGTTAAACTACTATAAGTCTTGTCCACTAGTCATTTAATACCTTATTTTATGTTTAAATGCACAGAAGTAGCTACAGTTGTATGGTTTTACAACTGTAATTGCTTCTGTTCACAAATCAGTAAGATTAACTGTTACGCAATTGTTTTGTATTCTCAGAAAGTGTCTTCAGATTTTCCTTTACTTAGAAATAAAATTATGAAGCCCCAGAATTTTTTTACATTGCCAAACGTTCAGAAACATTTCCTAGTTAAGTTTCTTGATGATTCTTATCTTTTTGTTTTATTAGCAATCTATTGTTTACCTTTTTTACTCACATTTTAATTACTATTAGTATAATTAAAATGGTTTCCTTTCTGCATGGAAATGAGAGGAAGAAGTTATCATACATTTCAGAAATGAGTAAAACTAAAAACTATTAAACTTATTCCTCTTCTGTCACTTTTCCTGGAGATATCCCCCTTTCCAAAAATCAGCATTGTTAATTTATTTGGTATGTCTTATTCCAGACATTTTCTACACAATAAATTTTTCTCTCTTAATGAATGCATTTGAACCTTACTATAATTGTTATTTTAGATATAGATTTTTAAGATGCAATATGTTTAAGAGTGAAACTAAAAAGTCACATGTCATAATTTTAAATTGTGCACACATATTTATAAATATGAGATTAAGATTTCTGTATTTTTTTAAGGCGTGTTTCATCCCTAATGTGGGAAGTTCGATATATAGAACATAATACACGAACGTTTAATGAGCCAGGAAGCCCAATTGTGAAATCTGCTAAATTTGTTACCGATCTTCTTCTGCATTTTATAAAGTAAGTTATACATGCTTCAGTATAATAGTTGTAATAATTAATGATGTGATTTTTAAAATGTATACTTTAAAGTATAAAGTGCTAAAATGTAAACTGCAGTCATCTTTTAAATAGGTGATACTGTCACATAAGCAGAGTTCCTCTTTTAAAATAGAAAGCATACTTTTCATCCCAGCACCGGGGAGGTAGAAATAGTGAATCTATGTGAGTTTGAG